CTATTTCTTTGAGTACGTTGTACGTTTCAATTTGTTTTTTTTGGCGGCGATTGCCTTCCATAACTGTGCGTATTACTTTCGTAAATAGAATATAAAAGAGAGAGAAATTGTATAGTTTTGGTTCTTTATCACCCAACCAGAAACTTTGGAATATAAGAGATTCTGATACCACTTGTTGTGCAGATTGGACAAACGATTTACGTAAGACAGGTTAATGCTTGCATAGAAAAAGAAAACGTGAATTATACCCGTAGGATTTAAGTCGCTTAGGCGACATGGAAGTACAATGCCGGCTTTACTTGGAGGTTTTATTACTTCTTTTCCTTTTTGGTTCATTTGCAAATACCGAGAGTAAGTTTTTCATTTCTTTTATTCGTATTATGTTCCTCAATATATTAACGCAGTTTACAAAGCAATAACATCAACTTAATTAATTGCTGATTAGAAGGTTTCTGCTTTAACTTAGTTAAATAAGATAAAGCACGATTTTTATACTGCCATTCACTGGCTATAACTACCATTAAACTAAATAATATTATATTATTATAGCTCTCTGATTATAGTCAAAACATTTTTCCAATAGAGCAACAACGACACGAATGACGAGAATATTTTAGTTATACCGTATTTATTCGAATCAACGCCCCTTGAATAAACTCTCCCTTTAGAGCCTCATTTGGAATAAACGCCTCCCTCGAACAAACCCCCCGAGGAGTTTATTTTTTCCTCAAAAAACCTTCTCAACCTTTTTTTTTATTACGTACTTAACTTGGAAATATTATATATAATATACACCTCATCGACTATTATTTTAAGAGGGAACAGTGAAATTACAGTGTTCCTTGATTTTAATTACTTTTTATATTGTTAAGATTTATTATATACCTCATCGACTAATATTTTGATTACTTTTTATATTGTTACTATTTATTATATACCTCATCGACTATTATTTTAATTACTTTTTATATTGCTACTATTTATTATACACCTCATCGACTATTATTTTAATTAATTTTTATATTGCTTCTAGGAAGCAATAGGACTATAGGAAAATTATTATACGAAGGTTAGATTTAATGCTTGAAAAAAATTCATGAGGGCCTGCAAGGCCCGAAGGAAATTTGTGAATGCATTAAATCTAACCTAATAATAATAATAATTTTCCGTTAGTGTACGATGCATGCTCTACTAATTGCTTTATAAGTCAATCGCCGTCGTTTAATGTTAGTTTTTGATAACCAACTGTTGTTGTAGCAGTCATCGGTTGCTATAGTGATATGATCAGTCTGTGCGCGTATGTACATTTCTAGCTGTGCGTATGCTGATTTGTGCTCCTGCAGTAAGCGTTGACTAACACATCAGCAGTACAGTACAAATACAATGAATAACTATTGTAATTTGTATTATTAGAAGAACTTGTTTTTAATGCTATTTTGATAGACATTCGTCAAAGAAATAAACATTTCAGCATTCGAGAGAGAATACAGTCACTGACCTTTTTGTTTGGTGCAGACAGGTAAAAGTCGTGCGATGATTTTATGCTACGGCCTAGGCTAGAGTAGTAGGAGAAGGCCTCGGCGGCCTTCTGCCTGTCTGTAACCTACAATTTCGTTCCCTGAGTCTTTAAAATAGGTCTAGAATATTCATAATAAACGTTCACTTTGTTTTGTTTATTAGGGTTAATTGATTCAATGACTTCCTTAATTGTTCGTACTTAATATTGAATTTGAACTTTTTTCGGGTTCTAATTAAGTTTGTTTTACGATTTTCAATTACAGTACAATTCAATTCAGTCAACAGGAGTACACATAAGAAAACAATTTCTGTCGGTGTGTACCCCTTTTACAAAATACAATTCAATATTCATCGCGGTGTGCGATGTCTTTGAGGTGACGAAATGTATGCTGAATTAAATAAAATGAGTCGCCAATCTTTTTACGCTCATCTTCATATGTAAATTAGCTGAAATATGCAAATTAGGTCTGAAAATGTAGGGTACTTATATCTTGGTAACCACATGTCGTAGAAAGTTGCTTCTTTCTTAAAGTTGTCCAGAACATGCATGTTTCTATTTACCCTAATAGAACATTTTCTTCAAAAAGTACCGGAAGTACCATTTTGCCGACCGTATTAGCATAAATATGCAAATTAGGGGTGGAAATATAGGGAGCTATATCTTGAAAACCACTGGTCGTACAGAGATGATTTTTGCAGCAAAATGTTTAAAACATGCATGTTTATATTTACTATAATGGACAATTTTCTCTAGAAATGACAGGAAATTGCGTTTTTGACCTTTGACCTCAACTTTGCGTGATTGTAATATCTTGGCAACCACTGGTCGTATAGAGTTGTTTTTTGTAACAAAATATTTACAATATGCACATTTATACTCTAACAGAATAATTTCTCAATATCAACCAGAAACTGTTTTATTGACCTTTGAACTATCTTTGCAGTATATAGGCCTATTATATATGTATATATACCTAATGATGGCTTATGGTCGAAAGTATTATTACAACAATTGTATTATTAC